ACTCCCTTATTTTTATTGATTGAAAAAATCATGAATAGTGGAGCTAATTAGTTATGAAAAGCTGTTCTACAAAAAAAAAAAAAAAAAAAAAAAAAAAAATCTGAAACGCAATAAAAATAATATTAGTCAAAAAGACAAAAACAGTATAATTACAATTTGAAAAATAAAGCTAATAAAAAATTATCCAAAATAAACCCTTAGTAGCGGTTAAAGTAGGTGAGAAAGAATTTCTTTTTATTTTTGTTATTTTATGGGAGTTTTATTTTATTTTATTTTTTCTATTACAACTATATATACAGTTTATAAAATCTCTAAATAATTTTTTTGTGCATTTATTTATATCAATCATATTTACAACATTATGCAAATGTGATGGAGAATGTTGAAGATGAAATATATAGTTAGATGATATTCGTCTGGTGATGATGGTCAGCTAATAATAGTCAAGTAAGGGCGATCGGATAACAACAATTGAGTGATGACATTAAGGCGACAGTTGTTGGTGATCAAATGATGGCAGTTGAGTGACGGTCAGATGACAATGGTCAGAAGATGTTTGTCAGACTGTGGCAAAATTGATGGTTGGTGATGATAGTTAGCGACGTCAAACATCAAGTAGAGCTTTAGAAATCCATTCTATGAAGAAAAGTGATATATTTATAGTATTTTTAGAGCGGGCATTTTAGTAAATTTAGTCAAATTTTCATAATACTCTATCAGACCGCTCATATAAAATTCTATGATCTTGGGTTTGTTTAATTTGTCTCGTCGAGCCACTTGTTTTGATTTTAAATAAGCATGCAAAATTTGAAGAATAATATCCCAAAAAATTTTAACATCTTTTAGGCGCTTGATTTAGGCTCACTTGGTTCTGATCATATTATATTTGGTGTCATCAGGTCCGTCTTACCAAGACGCTTAATTTCATTAAAAATATGTTGAAATTTGACTCCGAGTGATTCTAAATTTAATTCTAAAAAAATTGTAATCTAAATGTTGTATCAAGATTTGTGCTTATCAAAATGACTTTTTAAACATCCACAGCTAAATTTTGTAAGCACATCTCTAATCAAGGATTATAAATCATGCTTCAATGTTGTTGTTATAGATAAATAGATTAAAATGAATATTTGTTATGTGAGTTTGGTTCAAATTTGAATCAATTAAATTTGGATGACTCTCAAATTTGCCTAAATTTGAGCTTTATTTTAGTTCTGATTTGGGAAAATTAAGCTCAACTTGATTTGGGAGGAATTTTTCTTATAAATATAGCTTTTGTTCTAACAAATTCTATTTTATTTTAACTTTAATTAATAAATATACCTTTCTTTTGAAGATGCTTTTTATTATTATTATATTAGCATATTCATATTCTTTTTTTTTTTTTTTTTTTTTTTTTTTTTTTTTTTTTTTTTTTTTTTTGTAAATATTGAATTTTTGGTGGCCTACCAGTAAGGGCAAGTCATTCTAATTGCCTGTGAAAACATTCATATTTTTTTAACATTTAGTGTAATGTTAACAAAAAATGGTGTGGGCTTTTAACATTGAAAGGATGTCCTACTAAACATAAATTCATTATTTAAGACATATTATGATCAATATGATCTCTAGAGGTCTAAAAGAGTCGAGTCGAGTCGAACTAGAGTGATTCTTAGTTTGAGCTTGAATTTGATTGATTAGTCAAGTTTGAGCTCGAGCTCGAGCTTATTCAATGAGATCGAGCCAGCTCATTTATAACGAAAGAGAAATGATTATGATTCCAGTAATTATTATAGTAAATTTATTTAAAAAAGTACTATTCGAAGATAAACAATAAAAATCATTTGATATAAGAAGGTGAAATATCATTTTTAAAATATTTATAATATTTTAATATTTGAACTCCTAAATTTTAATATACTTTAACTATATGATAATAATAGTTTTTAAACGAACTATCTGACGAGCTAATGAGTTAAGTCTAGGCTGACTCAACCTTTGGCTCGTTAGCTCATCGAGCTCATCTTACAAAATATTTAGAGCCGAGTTCAAACCGGCTTACGAATCAGCTTGACTCAGTTACACCCTAATCATGCCTTGACATTATTAGGAGACAAAATCTTAAGAAATAGCACATTATTTCGTACTTTTCGTAATCGGAGCGCCGTCACTTGTGAGAAATTTTATTTGGAGCAAAAACATCCTATTGTAGTGTTTTTTTTTTCATCATACAAGCCAAATCCTGCCTGAAATGCCTTGTTATAGGGCATTTTTGCCTTGTTTTTTAAATTTTTAGCCATTGGAATCCAATGTAAACACTTGTGAGAAATTTAATTTGGAGCAAGAACATCCTATTGTAGTGTTTTTTTTTCATCATACAAGCCAAATCCTGCCTGAAATGCCTTGTTATAGGGCATTTTTGCCTTGTTTTTTAAATTTTTAGCCATTGGAATCCAATGTAAAGAGCATCCAATGCCTTTGGATTCTATAACTCAAAGAAAACTTTTAGGTCAAATTATAAATAAGGGGAATTCACATTTTTTGTATTATGATAATTCAAATAAACAAAAAGAAAAAATCAATAAGGTTTTTTTTCTTTAGCTTAATATTCATTCAATCAATTGTAGGTCAGCTTGATGTTTATTCAGTCAAATGGTAAACTTTATGTACACTTTAAGTCATTCAGTAATCAATGACTTTTCATGTTCATTTTCAGCTTTGACTAAATTTAGCTTTGAACCAATCAACCTCCATATGAAAGTAATGTAGACTGATTTCTTATACATTCCCCTTGCATAACTCTTTCTCCCTCACCAATTCGTATACTACGGCTTCATTTAGGATGATTTTCTTACTGCTTTCTAAGCAGCTTTTTAGTACAAATTTTTTTAGTTTAAAACAATTTTGAACTAAAAAGTTGTTTTAAAAGTAGTAAAACACAGTCTCAAACGGAACGTAAGACTTCATTTATGACAGTTTTCTTACTACCTTTTAAAGCAGCTTTTTAATTTTTTGTACTAAAATGCTGCTTTAAGAAGCAGTAAGAATGCTGTCTAAAACGAAGCCTACATGTATTTGTTGCTTGTGTTCTTATCTCATATGGCATCCTAACTTAAAGTTAGTGATAATTTCTATCTTCTTTATATTCAAATTTCTATCTTCTTTGTACAAAACCTTAGTCAGATCACATAATATTCAAATGAGATTTCATAAGATTGTGAAAATTTTATAGGAGTAATTAAAAATTTTATAGGAGTAATGAGATTTCATAAGATTTCATGGAGATTTATGCTCAATCATTTGAATTTTTTACTGTGTATAAGCTCTCATGTCTATTATATCATAATTTTTAATTAAAGAAATATTCAGAATATATTTCTATCGTTATAAAAATTAAACTTTTAAAAATATGGTAGCAATATTTATATAATAATGAAATATTCAATTTGCTCAAAGTGAAATTAAAGATTATCATATAATTGTGTTCAAAAGTTGATGGAAAACTTGGAACATAACAATTCAAACAAGATGGCTATTGACTAGCTACAGGCACATTATATGATACCCTTATTAAAAACAAAAGACATAAACATAGAATTTGATGTGACTTCCAAAAATATTTTATACTTGTTAAAATAAAATTATTATTTTTCATAATTTAATAGGTTAATAAATCAAACCTCTCATTATATCATAGGACTTCTAAATTAAATTTAATAAAATCGAAATTCTCTTAATTAGAGAGATAATTATGTCATTCCAAAAAATATTTTATACCTTTAAAATAAAATTATTATTTTTCATAATTTAATAGGTTAATAAATCAAACCTCTCATTATATCATAGGACTTCTAAATTAAATTTAATAAAATCGAAATTCTCTTAATTAGAGAGATAATTATGTCATAAATAAATATGCATATTAGAATATCCAATAAATTTGGAATTAATTAAAATTAAAAAGAAAAAAAATATATATGCCAAATATTCAACTTGTGCTTATAAGTTTAAAATCATCATTATTGAGATTCTTGAGCATCAAATTACTCCAATTATGCAACGCATCTTGATCTATTTGTTGGGAGCTTTGACTATCTTTGATTTGAAACTAGCTTATTTGATGTTTGATTGGAATACAAAATACATCAAAATAAAGTAGATGAGTAAATCATTTTAGTTCATTTTTGAAATAAATCTAAATCATCCAATTTTGAGCGAAAATTATTTATACCACAAATAAACTCGCTAGACCAACACCCACCACTACCTCCATTTGATGGCCACCACAGGTTGCTGCCACCAACCATCGACACCACGCCCACCATTGCCAGCAGCCGCCACAACTCATTGTCGTCCACCACCACCACCAACTGCCCCCACTATCGATCGCTTCCGTCATCCACTACCACCACAAACACCGGCCACCATCACAACCAGCCACCACCCTAAACCCTAAAATCAAGCTTGAAACCTACCAACCATAAGTTGTTGAAATGTTGTATCATGTTTATCACAATGGTTAATACTTTTAGCTAAAAGAATCTTAATTTTTTCTCTTTTAAAACTTAAGAGTCCTTTTGGACAGCTACAACTTTTATAAATATGATTATACATCTATTATGAAGAAAATAATTTTTTAAAAATTATTTTAAAAAATAACTTCCTAACACAAAAAATTATTAAAAGCAGTAAGAAAATAATGATCAAAACTAAAATTGTGACTGGTCTGAAAAAATAAAGTAATATGAAAACTATACCAAATGAAGCCTTAATTAATTTTATTAATTTGACTATATACTTTTTAAGGCCACTGCACAGTTTCATACAATGAAACAATCAATTTGAACTAGTAAAAATTACTCAAATATAAGACTAAAAGCTATGAAGTATTCAGTTATTACAGTAACCATTATATTAAACAAGGCATCATACAGGAGAGATGACTAATTTCTAGGCTAAGTGTATAGGACTATTCCTTCAGCAAGCAGGAAATGAAACATCTGATTATTAAGTATACTAACTGCAGTTTAACAATGATAAAAACATCTTTTTTATTAAATTTAAACAGCATAAGATTGTTTTATTCAAAGTATGCTCGCTATAAAATACCGATTTAGGCTTCGTTTGTGATGGCTTTGTTACTGCTTCTTAAAGTAACTTTCTAGTACAAAAACTAAATTTTTTGTACTAGAAAGCTATTTTTAGAAGCAGAAAAAAAGATGTCCCAACGAAGCCTGAATGTAGTGGGATAAAGATTTGAGGTTGTTGTTGCTCGCTATAAAATCGTATAGTTCTTGACAGAGATTACAATTCCAAAATAATAATTGCTTTATCTCCATCATTAGCAACAATTGTTCAATTGAAGAGAATTTTTCAAATATGGATCATCCTTGTAACCTGCATACATTGGAAGTTCAAGAGCTTTCTCTGCTATCCTCCCATCATGGTGGATTCTCTGAATCAAGCTCTCAAGTGATGGAAAATTAGCCTACATACATTAGAAAAATAAAAAAGAAATATTACTCTACATGGAAAAATTGTGATAGGTAAGCAAATAAATTTTTTTTTTTTTTTTTTTTCAAATACCTCTGGTCTTATATAGCCCACAACAACAAGCCGAAGCTCCTCCCCATAGAAATCGTCATCAAATTCATGGAGAAGCCATGGCTCCTGCAGGGAGAAATATTTTTACTTGAAAAATATGGTGAGCGAAGTTCTGCAAATGAGTTTACTAACCACAGTCTTTTCTGTGTTATTGAAGTATGGATTCCATCCTATGCTCATGACCATCTTATAGATACCACGAGTAGACAGTCCAGCCCAGCCAAAATAAACACCAGATGTATGTTCAGATAATAAACCAGAGATGTTCTCTGGTGGCAGATTAGCTGTAGTAAAACCAAAATGAAACAGATCAAATGATAAAAAATACTATGAATAAAAGGAACCAAATCTTGAAAAATAAATCACAAAACTAATCAGGTTCTAAGCAACGCAAACAAAGGTTTATTTAGTAAAACTATCAAAACTTGTGATTCTATTCAAGCAGTGCAAGGCGGCATATGCAGCAGGTCAAAACAAATCCACCTGCACAACATTTCAAGATCCCTAAAATTATAAATGATTCAAAAAATAAATTAAAGTGCCATCAACATTATCATTAAACATATCGCAATTATTTGGGTTCAGCTTTATGAATTTTTATTTTTCAATTATTATGTTGTATGAGATGTTAAATATATTTGTGTGAACAATGCTTAAACTTTTTGGTGGAATAGATGGAGATGCTATTAGTAGAATTAAAGTTGGATGATTGTAAGTGGAGGAATGCATCGGACTTATTGTGTGATAGAAAAGTTCGGCTCAAACTTAAGGGAAAATTCTATAAGATCGTGGTTAGACTTGCAATGCTTCATGGTGCAGAATGTTGATCATTAAAAGAGAATCATAATATTAATTTAAGTGTTGCAGAGATAAAGATGCTTAGGTGGTTGAGTGTTTAGTCTTAGAGACATGATACGAAATGAGCATATACGTGAAAAGGTTGAAGTAGCTCCATTGGAAGATAAGATTAGAGACGGCGGGAAAAGCAAAATGACGGGCGGGAGCGGAGTTCCTAGTCTCTTTCTCCAGCCCGAGACAATTCCAAAACACCCGCGAGCACAAATTCTCGTCTTCTTTCCTTCTCGCGTTTCTTCTGCTCTTTTTATCGTTTTATTATGGTAGTTATTGCTCGTGAGTCCATCCTCCTGTGAAATTTCTTGGTTTAAGCTCGCGGGTGTTTTGATATTCTCGGCAATTCCTTTCACGGCTGTGAAAGCCTTCGCGAATAGTTTGTTTGGGGAGGTGCTTCGTCGAAGGCTCGAGGATACGAAGAAGGACGCTGCGGAGAGGTCTTCCAGGTTCAAGGCACTGACTCAAAAAGCTAAAGAAGAAAGGTGAGTCGTTAGTTGAAAGTTGCACAGTTTGCTGGTTTTGGGAACTCATTGTTGCAAAAGCTGTAGTAAATGGATTTTAGTGCAATTTTAGAACGACGACGGAGCTCGATGGTCGCACCTCAGGACGGCAGAGGCCGGAGGCTTGGAGCTCGCTTGCTTAGTCGGAGCTTGGCGGGACGACGGAACTCGCGGCTTGGGACGACGAGCTCGTGGTTTCGAGCATTCGACGGAGTTTGACAGTACGACGAAGGTCGGAGATTGAGTCCTCGACGGTCGACATAGCTCGAGACGACGTAGTAGCCCGGAACGATGCAGCTCGACGAGCCGCTCGACTTGACTCGTTTCGTGAGACGAGTCGAGCTCGAGCTCATTTTTTGAGCTCGACTCGAGCTCATTTTTTTAGCTCGACTCGAGCTCGAGCTCGGTATTTGGCAGTCGAGCTCGACTCGAACGCACCCTAGCTCGAGCTCGACTCGACTCGTTTGCACCCCTATAGGGATGTTATTAGTAGAATTCAAGTTGGATGATTGTAAGTGGAGGAATGCATCGGGATTATTGTGTGATAGAAAAGTTCGGCTCAAACTTAAGGGAAAATTCTATAAGATCATGGTTAGACTTGCAATGCTTCATGGTGCAGAATGTTGGCCATTAAAAGAGATGCATGATATTAATTTAAGTGTTGCAGAGATAAAGATGCTTAG